ATCACTACAAGAACGACAGAAATGGATCAAGACACGAAGAAATTTGGAGGTCGGTGACATCGTTTTGATCCTGGACGAGAAAACTGCACGTTGTTCCTGGCCACTTGGACGTATCCTGGAAGTGCACACGAATTGAAGGGATGGTCTTGTACGTTCCGTGAAGGTGAAGACGAGCTCATCAGTGTTAGTTCGACCAGTGGACAAGATAATCTTCTTGGAATCTGAAGCTACTCCAGTGAACGATAAGTAGACAATACATAGTTAATTTTTGTTACTACTAATATAGTTTAACAAATGGACGGCGATAATTATGAAAAATCTACATTCTTTCTAGCGCTAGCTTAGTTTCGTCGCATGTTTTGAACCATAAATATTTAGGTAAAGGCTTCAGTATCGACTTTAAGGGGCCGGAATGTTCGTTTCGAAACGGAAGGTCAAATTAATGTTTTCGAAAAGGTTCGATGGGAAACAAACAAGTTGTTATTTTCCGCTATAAGCAAAAGTTCCCATCAAAATGCGTAAGTATGGTCAGCAAATGCGTAATGCGGTTGCCTAGCCTAGCCTAGCCACGCTATGTCCGTTGCGAAAAACATAGGTTTGTAGATTACGCAGAAAATTCCGGTTTGTTTTTGTGCAAAAACAGTCTACCCAACTTGTAAACTTCATTCTGCAATAAGTCTTTAACGCGGACGCTTGTGAGTAAGCAATAGTTGTTTTGGGCCCTGTATTGGCCAAGTTCTATCCACGTTAAGAAGACCGTCTACCTTTACTCTATCTTGGCTTGAAAGAAGAAGCTACACATATATCTATATATTAAAAGTTAAAGTTTGGTGCGTTAGCAAACCAAAGTAAGTACATAGATAATATGTTGTTTTTTTGCGATATTAATAGTTCTATAAGGTTATTTTATTGTATACGCATCCAAAGCGCTCACTATTTTCAAATGTTTTATAAAAAACGCAGCCCAACAGCGACTGTAGAGCGCCTTTAATCTAACAGTGACGTCACACGGTACACGGCATTGTAGTGTGGTGATAAAAATATTTAACCAGTGTATTCTTTACTATACGCTACACAAGTGTGTACCGTGTGACGTCACTGTTAGATTAAAGGCGCTCTGCAGTCGCTGTTGGGCTGCGTTTGTTATCAAAAATCTGAAAATAGTGAGCGCTTCGGATGCGTATACACTAAAGTATCCCTATGGGATGTTATATTTAGCGTGAATTTGGTTACTCTCACAACCGTGTACCGTTTCAATTTACTAAACTTTCAAAATAACATTACTTACACATTTATACAGTTTTATACTTTTATACAGTTATATTGTATGAATACAGGGGAATATGATGCTTCGTGCTCCAAACCCATCGCAAAATGTTGCAGGTTAACAAAGGATCTGCATTTTGAAATGCCTGTATTACCAACAATGCGAATGATTCACGCTCAGGAACTACAGATAGATCTGCTTGGCTGTAAGTTATGAGGTAAACAAACCTCGCATTTTTTGGCTGGAAATTTTGCACTCAAGCTTCACTAAGTATTAAGACATCGTTCTCTACGATGTTCAATAATTTGTTATACGAAAATATTGCTTTGCCTTTGTAGAGTTGCAGACTAAGTTGTAATTGTATAAATCCAG